GAACCGGGGGGGGGAGTGACGCTTCCGGGATGGGGACGCCGGTAAGAGGGGCTCCGTCGACCGGGTACCCCCGGAGGCCGGTGTGTCGTAGGAAGGAGAAGGCAGGAGGGGAGGCAGCGACAACAGGAGGGAGAAGAGGGACGACCAGCCAGCCTGGGGGTTCCCGTGGGCTCCCTCCCGCTTCGGTTCCCCCCGGTAACGGAGAGATATCCGGAGGAGCCGCCACCACGGAAGATGGTTTCACCCAAAACGGGGCCCTTCTCGCAGGGCGAACCCCTCCGGCCACCTCGGCTCAGCCCTGGCTCTCCCCGCGGACGCTGCAGTGCAGATAATTCCCCCTGTCAATACAGGCGGTTCCCGTCTTAACGGAACCGCCCGGGTATTTACCGCAGCTCCCAGGATTGAGGTATTTTAGCTCAGAATTGGGGAAAAAAAAAACCAAAACAACCCTCCTTCTGGCTCCCAGCTCTGCAGTTCTTCAGCCGCCTGCTCACCCAATGAAGTCCTACAATTACAGCACGATAACGTCCTGGCGTAGTTTTCATTATTAGATGTTTTTATTAAGAAGTGATTTCTGCGGTATTCTTTAAATGAACTGGCTTTGTTGATTTATTCAGAAAGGGAAAAAAAAAAAAAAGTAACTAGGGTGTGTTGCCTCTTTCCCACCATCTTTATGCAAATTTTTACAGACAGTCCCGTTCTTTAAAGCAGTTTGGCTAAACTAAGCCAACCACCGTGGCTATAAACCTTACAGTATTGGGTTTTAAGTGTCTTTTAGACGTGCAATTCACCGTGTAGTTCTCAGTTCTCGAGGCTTCTCCAGGACAGGTTCTCAGTACTGCATACGCGACCTCCGTACAAACCCAGAGAGGGGGAATCTCTCCGCGCTGCCGCCAGCGACGCTCCGGGCTGGCAGAGCTCTTCCTTCACCTTCCCCAGGCAGTAAATACAGCCACCACCATCTTCATCTGCAAGGCCTTCAGCAAATTCATCAAGAAACGAACAGGTTTCCAGGCAGACAGGTCTCCTGCCTTGCTTTCTCTAAGGGTGCCGTTACCGGAGAAGGTAGGAGCTGATTTCCCAGGTGCCCACAGAGGGAGAGAAATAATTTAACACATTGGTAAGACTGCACTTCTCTACCTTCAGAGGTTTCTCTGAGCAGCTCTATCCCATGTTGGGTGCTTTCACGCTGAACGTTTCAGAAGGCACTTGGTTTACTTCATGGGGCTCAGAGAAAAGCTACCAACAACAAAGTTTTTAGGAGAGTCCCCTTCCTTTCCCCCTTGCCTTCAGCTACGTATCAATTAAGAGGTCTTGAAAATAGCTCCACACTGACTCTTATCATCGGCACTGGAAATAATCCTGAGCTGCTACAACTGTGGGCTTCATTCCACCGAGAGCTGTACGCTCTCAGTCTGTTTCGGTGGCTGCTGCTGTTCATACTTCCTTGCTGAAAAAAAGAAACACTGATCAACACCAATTATACCATTTATTATACACATGCATATATACCTGCCTGCATCTATATATATATCTCTATATATACACATGTATAAATATGATAAAAATCAAGCAATAGACTTAAAAGAATGTAATTTCACCGCTTAGCCACTCAGGGGGAAGTTTGACTCACCATGTGGAACTAGTCCTTGGAAAGGCTGAACAGTGGGGTCATAGCAAAATGTCAGTAAATTAATGGCAGAGAACTATGATTTTGTTCAGGTCCCGTCATTTTAAAAAAAATAAATAAAATAAAAAAATTAAAGACTATAGCTTCAGATGACTTGAGCGACTCATTAGTCACAAAGTGGATCTCCACATCACTCATCTCCTCCACAATATTCAAGCCACAAGCTAACGACTACATTGACTCAAAATTAATCTGGTTAGCAAGGCAAAGGGAGATCAAAGAGTGGTGTGTGGTGGAGCAAACGCCAACAATGAATGCCAGCAGGCACTCCTCTGCAGGAACAAAAAAGGACGTGCTTCCTACAGAATGCAGTGGCCTGGCTTAAGAATCTTTTTATCAAATCTGTACATTTAAAAGGTGGTTTCAACTCATGAAATGTTTCTTGCCCATATTCCCTCGAGGCATGCACGTGTGGCAGAAGTAAAGCAAGTACAGGTGTTTCTCTGAATTGGACCTCTGGAACACAAGAGGCATGGGGCTCTTTCCTACCTCCATCCTGACCTTCAACATCAAGATGGGAGCGGCAACACTTGTTGGTACAGTAAAATTCTCATTTATTTTCAGTTTATGAAGCTGAATTACTTGAAATTCCACAGTACTCTCAACTTTTACAAATCCATCCATGCGTTGACAATATTCAGTCATTCCCCGCTGTTCTTAATCACAGAATGATATGGGGTTGGAAGGGACCTCTGGAGATCATCTAGTCCAACCCCCTGCCAAAGCAGGGTTGCCCAGAGCACATCACTCAGAACAGCATCCAGGTGGGTCTTGAAGATCTCCAGAGAAGGGGACTCCACACGCTCCCTGGGTAGCCTCTTCCAGGGCTCTGCCACCCTCACAGCAAAGAAGTTCCTCCTCATGTTTAGGTGGAACTTCTTATGTTCAGGTTTGTGCCCATTTCCTCTTATCCTGTCCCTGGGCACCACTGAAAAAAGACGGGCCCCATCCTCTTGACACCCTCCCTTTAAGGATTTATAGGTGTTGATCAGCTCCCCCCTCAGCCTTCTCTTCTCCAGACTAAAAAGACCCAAGTCACGGAATCATGAAATTGTCAGAACTGGAAGGGACCTCTAGAGATCATCCAGTCCAACTCCCCTGCCAAAGCAGGGTTGCCCAGAGCACATCACTCAGGACAGCATCCAGGTGGGTCTTGAAGATCTCCAGAGAAGGGGACTCCACACGCTCCCTGGGCAGCCTCTTCCAGGGCTCTGCCACCCTCACCCTGAAGAAGTTCTTCCTCAGCTTGGAGTGGAACTTCCTATGTTACAGCTTGTGCCCATTGCCCCTTGTCCTGTCACTGGGAGAGGTAACGGGCCTCAGCCTCTCCTCGTAAGGGAGATGCTCCAGGCCCCTCATCATCTCTGTAGGCTTTTGCTGTCCCTTCTCCAGCAGTTCTCTCTGGAGCTGGGGAGCCCAGAAGTGGACAGAATTCTGGACTCTGTAACTTCACCATCGGATTGGTTTTGGCAGCTGGAAGGGACTCCCAGGGCCGCTCCCTCACGCCTCCGCCCTGTGACCCCCACTCGCAGGGTACCACAGCGGTGGGGCTCCCCCTTGGTGTCCCCACTGCACGGGGACGGCCACCCCAACAGGAACCATCCCCCGGTAATCCCACAAGGCCCGGGGAGGGGTCTTTCCGTTGCCTTACCGATGGAGTACATTTCCAGCTGCTGCCGCAGGCGGATCTTCTTCATGCTGTCGTAGAAGTTGGGCTCGGGCGGCGTCTCGGCGGCCGGGGGCAGGGTGAAGATGCGCATGATCCTCCTCTTGTTCCTGCGAGGGGAGGTGGGGGCAAAGCGGTGAGAGGCCTGGCCCGGTCCGGCCCGGTCACTGGCCCCCCCATAGCCCTCCCCCCCCCGTCCCGTCCCCTCACCGGCGGGCGTAGACGAGGAGGGCCAGACTGGCCAGCACCACCAGCAGGTAGACGTTGGTGGCCTCGTTCCACGCCTCGTGCACCGAGTAGTCGATGGCGCCGCTGTCGCCCAGCCCCGCCGAGCCCGCCCCGCCGCCTCCTCCTCCTGCTCCGCCGCCTGCCCCCCCGGCCGCCGCCGCCATAGGGAAGGAGGCCCGCTGGCGGACGGGCGGGTTGGAGCGTGTCCAGAGGAGAGCCACCAAGCTGGGGAGGGGTCTGGAGAACAAGTCACACGAGGAGAGGCTGAGGGAACTGGGCATGTTTAGTTTGGAGAAGAGGAGGCTGAGGGGAGACCTCCTTGCCCTCTACAGCTCCCTGACAGGAGGGTGTAGAGAGGTGGGGGTTGGCCTCTTCTCCCAAGGGAATAATGCCAGGAGCAGAGGAAATGGTCTGAAGTTGGGGCAGGGGAGGTTTAGATGAGATGTGAGGAAGAATGACTTTGCTGAGAGGGTGGTCAGGCCCTGGAAGGGCCTGCCCAGGGAGGTGGTGGAGTCACCATCCCTGAGGGATTGAAGAACTGTGTAGACATGGCACTTCAGTGCATGCTCTAGAGCCTGAGATTATTGGGTTGTATCTGTTCATGGGGTTTTGTTTGTGGTGGTTGTTTGTTTTTTGTTTTTATTTTTTGTGTGGCTGGATTCGATGATCTCAAAGGTCCCTTCCAATCATGAAGATTCTGGTTCCAACCATGATTTCCCCTCAGGCTGCCAGCCCTTTGTGGAGAGGATATCAGTAGATGACAGTTTCTCTGCCAGGCACAGAGGATGTAACGGTACTTTCACCTCACCAGCATCTGAGGGGAAACCCGCAGGCGGGTAGAGGGCCAGCAGAGGTGTGAATGCAGCATCCCTGAACGCCAGGCAGGCCTGGAGTCAAGAGCACCTTGGTCCTCCTGGGCTGGTGCTCGCTCTGCAGTGGTGGGATCATGTGGGATGTCGCTCAGCAGTGCCTGGTGGCAAGAGAAAAAGGAGGTTCAGATTGTCACGAGCTTTCACTTCTCACACAGGAACTAAATTTGACAGTGTAGGTTGTCAAATTAGAAACAGCACGTTCTGAAAAATCTTGCCTCCCATTTTATTTATTTATTTATTTATTTATTTATTTTTGTGCCAAAATGGGAGTTGCTGGATATTCAGCTGCTGGAGCAACATAGCTTATGCCTATGATGCATACACTCCCTGTGCCAAAAAGCCCAATTCTGAGGTTATGCTTTGGCAGAAAAGGTGGACCAGAGCAAACATTTCTGTTTAGAAACTAGAAAAGTTGTCTGAACTGCTTAATGAGATGCAGATTAACTAGGTAGAGGATGTTCTAACCCATACATACAAACACACTTTTTTGGTTTTTTTTTTGTGCTGCCCAATGTGGTGTTTATGAGCTATATGACAGGCTAGGTGTGCTGTTCTTTATCCTCTCCTCCTGCTTCTTTCTATCCACCTCTGGCCCTGCAACTTCCTTTCACCATCCCTTTCTTTGGATACTAGAACTGTTACAACGTAGACATTATGGATGTTGTTCATCTCCCTTTGCGTATTTGGGGCATGTGCTTATGTTGCAGTTATTTGTCTTCACCCTTTATAAGACAATAAGGGGAAAAAATAACTGGTTTTGGGGTGTGATTTATCTAACCTATGTCAAATGCTCAGAGTGAGCCCTCAGGTGTGCTCTGACTTCTTACTGAGTAGAAGGAGTCTAGAAGGTAGAAGCAAGGTAGAAGGTATCTACCTTGCTTGGATGGCACTCACTTTCCAAATGTCCAACAAGCCTGGAGAAACACCATCCTTTGGGGAGCCATTTTCTGAGTGCAAGATGTGCCAAGTCATTCTCTTAACATGCTCCAGAACAGATTAATTTTAAGAGGCCTCAGATCATGGTATAAAAGGATATGAGTGAAAATGACAATGCAAAAAAAATAAATAATAAAAAGCTAAGGCACTGTTATCATGAGAAATGTTCCTTGCCACACATGGTGTGGGAAAGAAGAGTAGAATAGCAATTAGACATAATTCTAGGTCATTAAATTGGGATGGCACCCATGCACACAACTGTGGAAACCACCAAGAGGAAAAAAAAAAAGTCTATCAGTTATGCAACATGACACAAAACAGTTAATTAAGAATGGTTTCACAGGGATTTTAAAAAGTTTCTCATGAAGTTGAGGCTTTTTGTTTGCTTTTTTAGTATGTTGAACTTTTCTGCTAACAGGAGTGACACGAAAGTGTTCACATCTGTGGAAGCAAAGTGGAAAGAACAAACTTAAGTTACTTGGGTGCTCTTTGTATTTCACTACTACCTGTAGACATCAGTTGAGATCGGGCTTCTTTGTACGGCATGTAGAGAAGCTGTATTTAAGCTGTACCTAAAAGCACTTTTTGTATTAACCCTGCAGCTCTGCTCTGGACAACCTGGGAAGGGGCTGGAACACCCCAAGACTCTGTACCTAGTTTCCCATCCAGAAGGAACCAAGGCTTGCATCCACCAAGCATAACTTCAAGTCTCAGGGTTTTCTCTGCAGCCTCCAGCACACAGGAACGGACTCTGCCCTCGCTCAGCAGGTGCCTGATTTGTTTGATTCAATTAAATGCTTGATTTAAGGCTCAGCTAATCCACCTACCCCCAACCTGGAAGACAGGCAGAGAGAGATTTTCTTTCTCCATGTACCTCTCTGTTAGCAGATGTTAAGCAGTGGGTGGGACAGGGATGGGTGGAGGACCACAGCATCTGGCGCTGCAGTGAGTGTGACAGCCTTGCAAACCTGAGAAAAAGGGGTGATCTCCCACTTGCTGGCCTGTAGCAATGAGTTCTGGGGGTGTAGGCCTTCTGCATGACTTCCTTGAGGAATCTGGTTCAAATACCAAAGTTGCTTAACTCTTCAGCCTGGGTTAGCTTGTCCTAGTACTCTGTGTTTTCTTTTCATGGCTTGGGCTTCGGTTTCAGTCTTAGGCTCCTGAAACACCTTCAGAAATGGGAATGCAAGCCGCTGTTGAATTTGGTCAGAGCAAAGTCAGGCCTGGCAGTTGTCCTTGTGTGACCTGTCTGTGTAGATTATGTACCATATTTATTTGTAGCTTGGATGAGGTGGGATGGGGTAACCAACACTTGTGCGTGCTGTTAATGCACGAGGACATCCATTGTTTTCTATTTTCTCGTACTAAAGCTGCTCATAGGGAAAGGACTGTCATTTTGTGCTATGCCTGTATTAGCGTCTGACCTCCAGGATGCTGGCCTGGCACCAAAGCATGTAGGCACCGAACAAATAATATAGAATAATATAAGGCATTGGCATAAAGTATTGTGGCAAAATGTAGCTAATGGGAGACCCAAGCTTAGTGGCTGGATTTCCAACATTACACAGTAGCAAATAAGCCTGGGGAGTTTCAGCTATGGATCAGACAACCACTGGCAGTTGTCCTTGTGTGCAGAAGAAATGGTGTGACCTGTCTGTGTAGATTATGTACCATATTTATTTGTAGCTTGGATGAGGTGGGATGGGGTAACCAACACTTGTGCGTGCTGTTAATGCACGAGGACATCCATTGTTTTCTATTTTCTCGTACTAAAGCTGCTCATAGGGAAAGGACTGTCATTTTGTGCTATGCCTGTATTAGCGTCTGACCTCCAGGATGCTGGCCTGGCACCAAAGCATGTAGGCACCGAACAAATAATATAGAATAATATAAGGCATTGGCATAAAGTATTGTGGCAAAATGTAGCTAATGGGAGACCCAAGCTTAGTGGCTGGATTTCCAACATTACACAGTAGCAAATAAGCCTGGGGAGTTTCAGCTATGGATCAGACAACCCCTCCCAGGAACCAGCTCTTGGGGAAAGCACATAGCTGTGTGATTTAATTTTAAAAAAAAAAAAAACAAAAAAAACAACAAACAAACAAACACTAAACTAAAAAATTATCCCCCCCAAAAAACCCCAACCAACCAACTTTTGTAAAAGTAGGAACATTGTTCATTCCACAAAAAAATCTAGCATGTACTTGGGAAAAGCACCCGCTTTAGTCCCATATATTTACCAAGAGAATTGCTGAAAAAGGTCTTCCAGCTCTACGAGGAAGGAATTCACTTTTCAGAAGCCCTTAGCACCCAGCAACTACTATAAATTTGACTGAAAGCTGCTGAATACTATCAGTTTTGAAAATACACTTAGTTCATATCTGAAATGTGAATGCTGGAATCTAACAGTAAGCTTGTTCTTTTGAAAATTAGGGCCAAAAAATCTGTGTGTCTATATATAAATATGTAATTTTTAATGGATTTTGAGTTACCCAGAGCTAAACAGAATCAGAAATCGCTGAGACGTAAATATCCCTGTAATGTAAATATATTCACCATTTAATCCTGATAAATACTGGATTATAGGCTTCAGAACACAGACCAACAATTATTGGAAATCCTGTGGTCACCTCAAGTATACAGAATTTCAATTAAAATGAAACCATAAAATCCTTTTTCTTTTAAAAAAGTACAGTCTAGCATGTAATTTATTCGGATGAACCCTACAAATATATGCATTATATCATGCTAGAAGAACTTGAGAACCACTCTTTTCTTGTTCCCAGGGTCTCCTGACTGTTGGTAAAACATTATGGTCATAATGATAGAATTGGTTTACAGTTGCAAATTCTGCCAAATATCTCACAAATTACATTTGGCAAACAGCACTGCCTCTGTTTCACACAAAGATAATGACCTGAGGTTTCGTTTATGTGGCACCAAAGGAAAATATTGGTTTAGAGCTTGTGGTAGAATTTCAAAAAGTTTGTGTGGTAGTCTAACCTTTTGATACGCTTAATAGTTACCACTCTATTAAATACAGAGTAACACAGGATTTAAAAGTATCCTTCAAAAAAAGAAAAGAAGTAACCATCTTCTATTAAATAGGTTGTGTCCATTTTATTTCCTCAGCATTACCCAGACCTACGTAGCAGCTGGTCTGGCTGTGCACGCAATACTTTTTACATCTGATGGTGTCAAACACACAGGTGTTGCCTTAAAAGCTGCTGGCCTGTGCAGGATTTAGTGTTAAAGGAGTGCTTTTAGGATGTATTCTGAAACCCACGGCACACGAAGGGAAACGTGCTACTTCAGACCTGAGCCACCTAAAAAGCCTGCAGCCAGCAGGCAGTTTGGAAAGGAGAACAGCATAACCTTGACAGCGCTATTCTTTGGATGACTCCACAGAGAAAAAGAAAGGAGCAGTAGGTTTGAACTGGAGCTGGGACTCTGCTCTGAGACTGTCTATTTCCATTCTGTATCTTGTGGTACAAACTTACCTGGTAAGGGCTAAGCTTTATTAGGAAATCCACTGGGAATTTTTTCTGGCAACCTAGGGTGGTTTGGGGAACCTCCTCTGAAGCTCTCTGAAGGAGGTGAGCACTAGTAGCAGTCCTTCTCCTTGTGTGGCTTGCATCTTTGTGCAGCTTCTCTGGCTGAAGTTTTGGGATGCAAGAACAGGGATACAATAGGAAAGCTGGCAATAACCAATCCAGGAGAAGCACCTTTTGTGGGAAAGGACAGGGAATGTGGGGCTCTTGATCTGAGCTGGAGATGCAAACCAGCAGGGAAGATCATGTCCACTGGTCCATAGCTGGCTGGCGAGTGGACGAGGAGAGGGGCTTGCAGCTGTGAACAGGCCTCTTCCTGCTCTTCATCCTTTGATGTTTTCCAGCAGACGTAGAAGAGCTGCTTGTATGGAGGCAACAGAGCCCCTGAATGTTTATCCAAGACTCTCATTGGTGGTGAAAACTCAAAGGGCCAGCAGAGAGACTTGGAAATTGCATGTTGGCGGTGAAAACTCAAATGGCCAGCAGAGAGACTTGGAAATGCATGTAGGGCTGTCCTGCCTCTTTTTCCCTCCCCGTGAAGCCTTGCCTCTTCCCTTTAAGGGAAAAGAAGCTGGAAATGTGGGAAGGACACAGAATTCTTGCGGTCTTCAGATCGTGGAAGGGCTTAGTGGGGAAGAACAGGAAGACCGAGAGGGTGAAAACTCCTTTGATTTTACTGAAAGACTGGAAGGATATGGCACTCCAGCTTGGTCGAGGTTGCTTCAGGTTGAGATTTAAAAGGATGTTAAAGTCAACAAATATCATGGGAGGTAGCCCCTTCAACTGGCCTGTGTGGCTCTTCTGACAGCCCTATCTATCTGTCTTGTTACTACAGACTCACTAAGGCAAACACAGTAGGGATTTTAGGGATTTATGGAAGTTTGCTAGCAAAATACTGGCTCCAAGGCCAGATCCTGGCTATGTTTGGGCATGAGGCTGCAACTGCTAATAACTAAGGCTAAGCTGACCTTCATGCTGCCATCTAGTGTTTCCTCATAGACAGAAACCACATCCCAAAAAAGAGACTTTGAAGGTCTGTAATGCTGTATTCCGAACAAATGTCATTTATTCCTGCCGAAGTACAGCACACAACCTGAAGGAGAGGGAATGGGGAAGAGACATGCTCAAGGTGAATGTTTAGGGAGACACCTTTTCTTAAAAAAAAACCAAAAAAGTAACTATATAATCCAGGAACAGAGGAAAAAAAAGTATATAATCCAGGAATTATATAGTTACAACTATATATTATATGGTGAGAGAGAGAGGCATTATTCAGAACCAGAATTTTTCCTCATTTGGTTTTCTCTCTGGGAAATTAATACGGCTGTTTGGAAGGTGCAACAGTACGCAACACAGCAAGAATCCAAGCAGCAGCTTGTCCTACCTGAGAGAGACCAGGGCAAGAAGCTTGGCAGGTTCTTCTTGCCTGTCCTTGCTACTCTCATAAAAACACGTGGTATGTTTTCCGCCTAGCCATGGGATGCTGATATTTCTTTCAAGTGTACGTGATGGCTAACAAGAGGTAACAAGTTATTGCTGGGGGCATGTGCAAAAGATCTGACTCTTGGCCCTACAAAGCTTGATCCCCGGCTTTGAGGAACTTTAATGGGATGCTTTTCCAACTGCTGCACATCTTGGATTTGTGCTGCAACTGTAGAACTTTAACCCTAATAACAACGACTCAAGAGTGCATGGGCTGGATGATGTAATTACAAGAGAGAGCACATTGTTTTTCGCCCAGGCTTCTTTAAGGTGTTTTGAGTCAAAGTCTAAAACAAACACGAAGCATCCAAAATCGGTGTTCTCTTTTGGAGACCCTGACTCCTGAGCTTCCTGACAACCTGAGCTGGAAAGCTGTCAGGAAGGACTGCGCAAGTGAAAAATGGTAAAAATCAGCTAATATACAAAACCAGACTGCCCAGAGAGAAAGGAAAGCCATAATGAGCAGCCTTTAAAGGGTTCCTGCTGGCAATGTATGAAATCAGGTATGAATTTAGTCATTTGCAGGGAAGTTTTCCCATTTATGATAAAATTTTGGTAGCAATAGAACAGAATTGCATTTGAACATTTGAACATTATATGTACAAGCTGGCTGGGTGTTCTCAGTGCTGTGATACAACATCTTGGGTAGGTGAAAAGGAGTGTCAGCACAGCAAAGAGCAGAACCAGACTCATCAGCAGAAAGGACCATGTACTTCTCTGTTTACAAATCACCTCTCCAGTCAAAGCTGTCTCTGGCCCTTAGGTCTTTCAAGACCTAGTTCACACAACAGAAAGCCCTCAGGTGTGTAATGGTAGAGTTCCTGTGTCTCATTCATGCTGTTCCTGCTTTGTTCATTGAGAGAACAAATAACTCCCAATCCCACCCTTCTGCTGGATTAAGGCATCATTATTCTTCCTCTCCAGTGGTTGGTACCAGGCTGTAACATCCATGTAGGTACCAAAAGCTTTCTCCTAAACAAAAAACCCCAGCCTTTCTTTATGCTTAGTGGGCTTTGAATTCATAGAATCATAGAATGGTTAGAGTTGGAAGGGACCTTGAAGAACATCAGGACACCTCCCACCAGACCAGGTTGCTCCAAGCCCCATCCAGCCTGGCCTTGAACCCCTCCAGGGATGGGGCAGCCACAGCTTCTCTGGGCAACCTCTTCCAGTGTCTCACCAACCCTCATAATTCAGACCCAATAGCATTATATGCTCTGCATATAGGGCTTTTATTTACCAAAGCTCACATTTAGAGCTCGCTGCTGTGGAAGAAAGTCACATTCTCTTTCAGTTCCTTGTTCTCCCCCCTTCCACCGAGTCATGATGACGCTCAGCAAGGGTAAGTGAAGAAAAAAGAAACACTTCAATCTTTTTGCAAAATTCTCAGGATTTCTATGGATTAAAAAAGAGACTCCAGTTTTACAGCTTCATCTCCAAAGGCATCGGGGTTCACCAAAATTTGGAGTGAGCTGGGGTACTCCTTTCCGAGTGACCACTGCTTTTACTCTACGGGGAAGCGGGTGAGAGCTTTGTGGGGAAGAAATGGGGCCAAAGCCACAGGAATCAGGGCAAAGCTTGTGGGGGACGTGCCATGGTCTCTGCTCTCCAGTCCTCTGCCAATCAGTTTGAGTGGATTTAAGTTCTTTTTCTGTAATTTTTTAAGAGAGTTTTTGTGTAAAAGGTGCAAAATAAAATTTATTATTTCTTAAGGAACCAATTTCCCTCCACACCCACAGTTTCATTTCCCTCCCTCCTCCTCTTCCAATGATAAACATGCCAATAGGAATTTTTATTTAATCAAAAGGTACAAATAAAGTTATTCTTTCATTCTCCGTTCTGGGGACAGAGATGTTGCCCTTCAGGCAAGCCAAATAAATAGGAAGAACATCAACTTCAGTCTGTTGTTTGTCTCGTGATTCACTATAACATTTCCCTCGCACCAGGCATGGCTGCCTCCCGAACAAGCAGAGTTAAAACCTTCCTGTAGGTGTCTAAGACCTCTTGAGCAGAAGGCCTTTCGGCCGGGTCCTTCTTCTTACATGCTGCATGGATGTCAAACAAATGCAGTCGCACAATGTCACTTCCTTCAACGTGGCCCAAGAAAAAATTGGAGACATCCGGGATTTTCCAGATGTCTGTTTTTTCATCATAGGGAGGCATGAGGTCATCCTCAAATGGCATGTCTTCTCCATAGGGCCAACGCTGCTCAGGAGCTACAAAGTCACCCTGGAGCTCCCGGTGACCGCATTTCACCAGCTTGCCAGCACTCCTGTTCACCAGAGGCAAAGCGTCCAGATCGTTCACCAGGACGTGAAAGTCACTTGTTAGGAGGTACTGAGAGAGGACCTTGTCCAAGTCGTTGGAGTCACACATCACCAAGGTGCCCAGAGGGCTGCTGTGCAGGTACCGAATGACGCTCACGTAGTCTATAGCGAGCATCAGCCTGCGGTGCCAGGTGTTCATGCCCTTGTACTTGGGGATGTGGAGAGTTTCGTTCAGGCTCCTCAGGGAGCCTAGAGGATGGTACTCGGTGAGGATTGTGAACTGCTGCTCGCAGTAGCCAAGCAGCCGGACGACGTGCTTGCTTTGCAGTGCTTTCAGCATCTTCAGTCCGTGGAGGAAGTCCTCCTTCAGCTCGGAGTTGGTGAGCTGTGAAAGGACCACTTTGTTTTCCTTCCACTCGGAAAGGAAGACCTGAGAACACACAAGAGACATGTGAGACACGCAGAGAGCCTTCTTCCAGGGCCACAAAGATGATCCGAGGGCTGGAGCACCTCTGCTATAAGACAGGCTGAGAGAGTTGGGGTTGTTCAGCCTGGAGAAGGCTCCAGGGAGACCTTAGAGCCCCTTCCAATATCTGAAGGGAGCTACAGGAGAGCTGGGGAGGGACTCTTTGTCAGGGAGTGCAGGGACAGGACAAGGGGGAACGGTTTTAAATGGGAAGAGGGGAGATTTAGATGAGATACCAGAAAGAAATTCTTTCCTGTGAGGGTGGTGAAGCACTGGAACAGGTTGCCCAGAGAAGCTGTGGCTGCCCCATCCCTGGAGGGGTTCAAGGCCAGGCTGGATGGGGCTTGGAGCAACCTGGTGTGGTGGGAGGTGTCCCTGCCCAGGACAGGGGGGTTGGAACGGGATGATCTTTAAGGTCCCTTCCAACTCTAACCATTCATGTGATTCTGTGATTCTACTGACTGCTACCCGCTGCCACTGATCTCCGGGTCGCCGCTTAGTCACAACTGCAAATTACAGTCACCAGGCACGGTCGAGCCTTTAGGCAGAGCCATGTACCTGTCACAGCAAGCCCGTACCCATGGCATCATTACAGCAGCATTTCCTATGTTTCCTTTGGAATGAGCAATGCAGATGAATTAAAATCACTTCATACCACCCAACCAGCCAGTCGTACCCTGCCACGATTGCACTACGCTCCACAAGCGCTTCATCAGTCTCTGTGATTTTGCTTGTGTAGCTGGATGTTGGTGGGGGTCAGGGAGGTGGCCCTCCACAGGTCAGGCTCTCCTACCTGTTCTGTGCACCTCAGCAGTCGCCGTATGCCCCTGGATGTCTACAGCAATTAGCTACTGCAGGGATAATTACAACACTGAATCATGGAATTGTTGGAGTTGGAAGGGACCTTCTAGAGGTCATAGAATCATAGAATGGTTTGGGTTGGAAGGGACCTCAAAGATCATCTAGTTCCAACCCCCCTGTCCTGGGCAGGGACACCTCCCACCACACCAGGTTGCTCCAAGCCCCATCCAGCCTGGCCTTGAACCCCTCCAGGGATGGGGCATCCACAACTTCCCTGGGCAACCTGTTCCAGTGTCTCACCACCCTCATAGTAAAAAATTTCTTCCTGAGATCTAATCTGAATCTTTTTTCTTCCAATTTAAAACTATTTCCCCTTGTCCTATCATTACCCTTCCTGGCGAAGAGTCCCTCCCCAGCTCTTCTATAGGCACCCTTCAGGTATTGAAAGGCCGCTATCATCCAGCCCAACCCCCCTGCCAAAGCAGGGTTGCCCAGAGCACATCACTCAGGAGCATCCAGGTGGGGCTTGAAGATCTCCAGAGAAGGGGACTCCACACCCTCCCTGGGCAGCCTCTGCCAGGGCTCTGCCACCCTCAAAGTAAAGAAGTTCCTCCTCATGTTTGGGTGGAACTTCTTATATTCAAGTTTGTGCCCATTTCCTCTTGTCCCATCCCTGGGAACCACTGAAAAGAGTCTGGCTCCATCCTCCCTCAATCCACCCTTTAGAGACTTGTCAGCATGAATAAGGTCTCCCCTCAGCCTTCTCTTCTCCAGGCTAAAGAGCCCCAGCTCTCTCAGCCTTTCCTCATCAGGGAGATGCTCCAACCCCTCCATCATCTTTGTTGCCCTACGCTGGACTCTCTCCAGCAGTTCCCTGTATGGGCACTAATTAGCCACCAAACAGCGAAAGCTCTTTTATCCACAGGAGAGAAGAGAGGAAAAACCAAACTCACCTTTTTCACAGCGCCTTCACCCACACGCTTGAGTTTCCTGACCTCCCTGTTTATGGCTTCACAGGAGAGCCACGGGGAGCAGTTCTTGGCCGCTCCCCATTTGAAGTACCCAAACGGGCAGAGGCCGGGGTCCAGTTCAGCGCCTCCCCGGGAGACATAGAACTTGTTGAGGGACAGGTAGAGGAGGGCGTTAAGGAGCAGGACGGCCACCAGCAGCAAGGCCAAGGAGACGGAGGACACCTCCCTGGGAGCAAACTCCCTCCCAATCCAGTGTGGCTTCTTCTCCATGACCCTGCCGCCTCCCGCATCCTCCCCCGGCAGAGGCAGGCTAAGCAGGACCCTCCTCCCTGCCGGGGGGTGAACGTCCCGGGGGCTTTTTCACCCCAGGCCCACCACAGTCACCCCACAGCCTACGGGAAAGGCCGCGCCTGGCCTCCCCCGCCGTCCCCGTTAAAACGGGCCGTCAGCTCCACGCTCGTCCCCTCTGCTCATCCTCCCGCTTCCCCAGCCGGGAAGGGCTTGGGCCTGACCCCGGAAAAACCCGGTAGTGGCCGGGGGAAGGAGGGACGGGGCGCTTCCCGGCCGCGCAGGCCGGCGGTGGCGGCGGCGGCGGCGGGGGCAGCGGCGCCGCCCCGGGGCGGAGC